AACAACAAAGAGTGAGCCAACGTTTAAACTATGGCTTTGTCTGAATGTCCGCCCTAACCACTATATTAGGGCACTATATAGTGGTTACACCATTTTAAATGAGTGTCTGAATGTCTAGTGGGTGGAAAAAGTAGGGAATCAAGATTTCCCATAATGCATCTTGAAAAGTAGTGATCATCCATGGTCACTAGAGGAGCAGATATCCCAGAATTGGACTGGTTTTCACAGCGGCCCGCTGTCGCCTACAGTGTTTGGTAGGGACAGCAACCCGCCTGTGATTGGCTACTTTTCAGGAAAGCTCGCATCTTGAGCTGTTAGTTGTAGCCAAGGTAACCAGCTTTAACAGTCCTCCCATTTACAACTAGCGTTTGAGCAAGCAGAAACTACCGGGTGATTTGACCTAAACTTTTTTGTAAATGCCCTTTAACCCTTTTTAACAGACACTCTGTCCTGAAACGTAGCAAATTACAGGCGGGTTGCTTTGTCCAGTGGGTAACGCCTTCTAAGTTAAAAAAAAAAATCTTGCCATGAGCGGCACAGAAACAGGAAATCAAACCACACTTGCGTGTCCGATTTATTGGGGCCACATGTAACTCCATTTGCACGTGTACCAAGCTAAACATGCATTTGATTAGTTTATGATCAGCTGTATGAATGCTCGCAGGGAGTATTTAATGCGTGTGTGGACTTTTGGCACAATCCTGATGCCATAGCATTCCATAATGTATTTGACTTTTCATTGAGACGTTTTTCTTCCTTTTATATCCTCACAGGAGAAATACAGCACTCTCCCTTCTGTGCTCATTATTGTGATAGGTCTGCTACCTTAAAGCCACCCATTTATAGGTGCCCGTTCACAGATTCATAATCAGTTCAAACTGGATTCATTAAGCGAGTTGATAACCAGCTTCCTGGTGCAGCTGATCCTGATTGCCATTGATTGGTTAAACTGAGCTTGTGTTACAGGCCTCAGCTGCCAAAGGTTCTCCTGCTATGGAAACAGAACCAGAGTCTAAATGGTGCCGCCCCAGCTCTGTGTCTAGGAGTGGAAATCAACTGGAATCTTGTGTTCAGAACCCGCCTGAGCTCCAGCTGCTGGTCTGTTGCCTTCATGTGAGCTTTTATCAGATCTAAACCTGCTTAGAGGAGCTAAAGCAGAACCAGTCCAGCCGGTCTGCCTGGTCCTACCAAGGACAGACCGCGTTCCCTCAGGCAGCAGCTTCCCCCAGCGAGACGAAGCAGCCGATGAGGGATCAGGACGATCTGGCTAACAGCACTTAGCTTTCAACATGTGAACATCAACAGACTGCCAAGCCACAGGCGTAACTTTCATAAGGACATGTTCCCATCAAATTTGTCCTGGCGGGGACAGTCCCCACCAATAATCCCCCCCCCCATTTCTACTCATTTACTTTAGCCAACAGTAACAGTTTGGTGCTGCTATCAGTGTTCAAAGCGTTTTGAGTTTGTTTTTCTTCTCGCTCTCCCGCTGCTCCCGAGTCCCGCCCATCGGTGCAACATGATTAGATCAGTCACTTTGAGACAGAATTATATGCGTTCACCATTCACTACATACATAGTAGCTGGAGGAGAAACACACACCAACACACACAGTAGCAGCACTTAGAGTATTTTAACTGGCAGCTTCTTAGATATATGTTTAAGTAAAATCTAGGAGATGGGTTGGTTAAAAAAAATTAATATTTGTACTTTTAAGTTTTGAATGGATGGAATTTAAAGTCGTAGGGAAGTTGAAACTCTTAACACTTGAAACTCACCATCAGCCTTTTCTCTCAGAGTCAAACCTGCAGATTCATTGGAGCGTTTCAGCTGGGATTCCCCCTAAAGACAGGATTTATAGAGGTATGGTCTCATTCAACCAGTTTAATATTTTGCTCCAAAGGTCTGGTTCAGCCGGGAATATTTACCGATCTGCTTCTGGTGTTGCTCTCCTCTGAGATCCTGCCAAGAATGGAGTCGGGAGCTCGACCGGGTCGGGCTCTAAAACACATGAGAACAGAGTTATGAGGGATGAGGTCAGAAAGGTGCTGAACTGAGGGGGCCAAAGGTGAACGGACCTGACTCTGTCCTGGAAGCGGGACAGGAAGCGGGTGGAGATGCTGAGTCGAGGGTTCAGGAAAGGTTTCTCCTCAGATGGCTGCAGATTTGTCAGGTCCGTATCGAATCGTTCTGCAAAACCACGAGGGGTTCAGTGTATGAAAACATCAGCAGGTACACAGAGTCGGGTCAGGAGGTTCTTACCTTCATTCAGACTAGAGGCCAGACTGGCAAAGTGGTTCTTCAAAGAGTCCCGGTCCTCGTCGTCCTCTGGACCCAGACTGCCCACCGAGCTGCCCTGACTCAGCGAGTCCGTGTCTGATGAAGAGGAGGGTACAGGCTTCAGATCAAGGCTTTGATTTTGAAAATTCAAGTCTTTTCTGTGCCCGAAGTTTTTTTTTTTGTTTTTTTTTTTGGACAGGCTATATTCTGCAGAACCTCCCAGGTAGTTTCCAGCTTATCAAACAGAGTCAGGGGTTTGCATTAACCTTTCACCAAATGTTGGTCCAACTCCAAAACAGGAGAAACAAAACCCTGCTGATATGAACCCAACTTCAGAACCAGCAGCGACCTGAATGAGCAGATTACAGCCATTGGCTGTGCTGAAGGAAATAAACATGGAAGTCTGAGCATCAGCCCCGCATTCCACTCTCTCCATAAAGAGCAACGTAATCTTCCTTCTGTCTAATGACGTCTGCAGGCTCGCTTAAACCTGTGTGGTCCATCTCTGCTCCCAACAGCCGCTTCAGTCCTCGGTGTTTCCATCAAGCCACAGGAGAAGCAGCCAAAAAGGTTTTCTGCTCATTGTTAAAACTGAACAATAACTCCCATCACAGAGAAAATTTTTATAATACAGATCACTGCAAAAACACGTTTCCTTTACAGGTTTTATCCCAGCTAACCAGTCTCAGTGGTACCCAACCCACAGGCCAGACTGGTAGCGCTCAGTGGGTTTAAAAACCAGACAGAGGAAGAATCAAAGAGCTGCATATTGATCAGTTTGTAGCTTTAAGTTTAACTATGAACACTGAAGAAATAAACTTTAAATTCAACACAAAAAAAAAATTGCGGTTAATTTAGCATTAATTTTTGGATATTTTTTTATTCCACAGACAATCAGACGAAGAGTTTTACGCAGTGATGCAGAACTTGATGCAGTTTAACTGTTTATTTTGGATCATCGTTATTTTGTCTGTAAAGCCTTAAAACGTCAGTTTTCTGACGTCGCCAGGTGGGGAATCGCTGCTCCTACATCCGGAGCAGGCAATGCGACCAATCAGGCCTCAGCACAGATCAACACAGTTATAGGTTATGCTTTAATATACTAGTCTTTAGTCTGCAGCTCAACCTTCTGGAACCTGATCAAACAGAACAGAACTAATTTAGGAGGGAGTCTCACCGGTGTCCTGCTGCTGCTCCAGACTTCCTGCAGAACCTTCGGAGCATGCAGAGTCCGGGCTTGGATGTGTCCGCCACACAGGCTCCACCCCCTGACCTCTGACCCCCTCCACTCTGAAGTCCCTAAAACAAGACGTTGACCTTCAGAACCAAACAGAACCACAGCAGGCCGAGCTAAGGAGAGAGACCAACCTCTGGGTTAAGGAGGAGTTGCAGTCGTCTGGCTGTAGGATGAAGGTAGAATTCTGAACTGCTTTCTGCAGAACAGAACCACCGAGTTCAGACACAGAAACACAGCTGACCCCTTCATCTGGGCTCTGCGCCCTGCTGCTCACCTCTTCATCATTATCCTCCTCCTCCTCGTCTCCCAACAGGCTGTCCAGACTCTGAGGCTGAAAGTCTTCCTCCTCCTCCTCCTGCTGCTGCTGCTCCTCCTCTTCCTCCTGATTCCTGCTGATGGTCAGAGGGCTCAGAGGCTCCATCCATTGGCTGCGAACCTGACGAGGCTCTGCTTCTAATTGGGCGACGGCACCAGTCTCCGCCTGCAGAAAACATCCAGTGACGCTGAATCCAGTGACCGGAACAGAACAGGTACTCTGCGGGCAGAATCAGAGGAAACCAACCATTTTTCTGAACCAGATGGGCATCTTCCCGTTGGTCTGAAGCAGCGCAGTTTCTGAAACACAAACAGACGGGTATGTTCAGGTAAGCAGGAGACAGCTGCTTGTCTGGTTCAGAACCTCAGCCTGGTTCATTTGCAGGAGAGTTTTCCAGGAATGAAGGACAAAACTCAATCTATAACATTTAACATCTGGTTCTGGGTGGGTTCGGGTCAGCTGGATTTACAGAATGTTTCTTTCTTCTTCCCACCATGTTCCTCAGGACTGCCTTCTGCTTTAAGGAACAGATGGATTTCAGTTTAGCTGATCTCAGACTCACCAAGAGCAGAATCCAGATTTCCTGGAGTCCTTTGATCTGCTGCCTTCTGCACCTCTTCCTCCATCAAAGGCAGCTGGGACGATGGAACCGTGATGAAAGTCTCCCTTCTGCAACAAAAACACCATAAATCTGAGGAGGCTCGGTGCCCACTGTCGTCCGCCTCCAGCCCAACCCCACTCACCTGAGGTCGGGCGGCCTGACTTGGCAGGTCTTAGCCGCTCTGCTCACTCTGAGGGCCCGCCTCTTCCTCATGGTGCCAGTCATCTGAGAGTCCAGGCGCCACACAAACACACAGCTGCAGGACGACAGGATACAAACTAAGTGAAAGTTTGAGTTCCCCCTGGGACGGGCCATTGATTCAGAGGTTACCTGTCTCCTGACGCTGAGATCAGGTGTCTGCAGTCCTGACTGAACCTCATGCAGCTGACCAGCTCTGAGCAACAAACACAGCAGGTCAACATCTGGAGAACAGCTGGACCCAAACAACCAACAGACAGGATATGTCGCTCTGTCAGACTATTTGCTGCTTGGTCTCAATGTGGAGGATGCTAACTGGGATGTAGCTCTCTGGTTTTAGTTTAAACAGCATTCAATGCTGGGAGAGACACTTGGGTAGAGACACACACTAAGGTAGAGACACACACTAAGGTAGAGACACACACTAAAGTAGAGACACACACTAAGGTAGAGACACACACTAAGGTAGAGACACACACTAAA